ATTTTACTTCTTTGGGGATTTTTGTTGTTTTTCTAGCATGCCCTACAACTGCAGTGCTTGGTTTCTCGTTCCCTTTTCAGTACCTCGAGGCTCCCTGCTCTGACAGCCAGAGCTGGAGTAAAACCCTGCTGGCTCGGCTGGGGGACCCAGGGCCCCGAGCCAGGCAGGCAGCCTGTGCCCAGCGCCGAGGAATGCACATAAAGTGCAGGCAGGGTTTTATTGGGAACACAGGAGCAACTATTCCTCACATAAAATTAGTTGCACAGCAATATTGCTTTTAAATAGTCACAAGGCAAGGAAATGAGGTTTAACCATTTACTGATATCTCTGCTGTTATTTTGTTGAATTTGCTAACATTACCTTAACTTTTTTTTAAAGTTATTATAAAGCAGACAAGAAAAACCTAATTCATGTATTGTTTGTTAAGCAGATTCTATGATTCTATCGATATATCTACCATTTCGAGTGACATTCTCTCTGGCAAAGCTGGTTTACATTGTACCTTGAAAAGTGCTGCTCAAGCATTTTTGTATGTTTAAAGTATCCACAGGACCAAACCGAAATGAATTCCAAGTCTCTCTCAGATGGCTGCAGCAGATCGTGCGTTATCATTGCTAACAGAAGGCACGTGGGGTTTAATTACTGTGGTATTTTCAAACACAGGGTAACAATATCGTGCGGTATCATAAGCATTTAATTGACAGTGGTGCTGCTCGGGGGGGCTGCTGTTGGGGAAGGGGGAGTCTCTCTGACACGTGAATTGCAAAAACTGCTTTTCCTGCAATGCCTTTTCCTGAGCCTGGACCCAGGTGGGGGTGCGGGCATCCTGATCTCCCAGCTGGCTCGTGCTGTGGTCTGTGGTTATTTGTGGCTGTGTTTGTCCTGAGGTTCAAAAAGTAAAACTTTAGCTGGAATATAGAGATGGATTTTATGAACTCAGGAGTTGTTTCAAACTCCAGTAAAAGCATTCCTTAATGGAATAAAGTAGTTCCCACTGTAATTGGGAAGCAGTTGTTGGAACAAGTAGAAAATAAAAATGGTATAAATGCAGAAAGTGGTTTTTGTAAAATCTTGCCAAAAATCTTTCTTTATTAGAAGCAGTTTTGTTCCTGCCTCAGAGAAGTCAGGATTGGTAGCGTTCTGCTTTTTCCCGCTCAGCTCCTTCCTGCTCTTTTCAAACAGAAAATCAAACATTCCTACAGACTATTAGTGACAAAAAGTGAATTGCTTCCACAAGAGATGAAGCATGATCCAGAGTGTGGCAAAACTTGGAAAAAAAAACTGCCTGGGGAATGAAAGAAGTGCTGTTCAGGGGCTGGAGCCATGTTCAGCTGTTGACTGGGACAGCAAAGTAACACACTGCTGGCAAAGAGCATGGAGAGTGGATGCAGCTGTATCAACAGCTTCCCCCACTCGTGGGTACATACACAGAGCCAGCTTCACTGCTTCAGGCAGCTTTTCCAGTGGATTTGCATTTACAGTTGTGACTTCTCTTGGATGAGCTGTGTCTGACAGGGACCTCGATTCCGTCTCTGCCTGAATAACCCAACTACAGGCAGAGGTCTGAGTGTGGGTTAGGACAGATGAAAGCCCCTCAAGCTTTTAGTAGTATTTCAGTTTGATTCTATTAGGAAGCCCATATCATGGTACAAGCATACTCTAATTATATTTTTAAATTATATTTTTAAAGTTCTAAGTCATAATAATACTACAGAAGTTTTCTTGCAATTATTGTTTTTCTTGCTGAGTCTAAAAACTTTAATTTTATTGTTATGTCTGTGAATTAAAACTCTAATGATATAAGTTTACTAAAAAAGAGGACATGAAAATAAATAATAGGATTTTCATTCCTCCTTTAAAGCACTGCAGCCACTGTAGCAGTACTAATTAGAATGCTTATTCATACACATTGCTGAGTACTGTCTTGGTAGCTCAGTAGAGATCCACCAGGCCACTACATCTGTGCATGTATTACCATCCTAAGAGGGAATAGCTGCTGAAATTGTGGTGAAATTCTGAGGAAGCTTATGTCCTTCCTTCATCACTTATAGGAGTGAAGGAGTCTGTTATGGGACTTGGCTGTGCTGTAATTTATTGTGCCACTTTCCTTCTGAAGCAACAAATCTTGAGGAATTTGGAAAGGCAGAGAGCAGAGTAGAAGAGAAGTAGTTTCCAAAGAAGGGCTTTGATTAGAATAAAGGAAGTTCTACCTCTGTACACAAGTATTTCTTATATCTGCATGTCTTGAATTTCCATGTCGGTGTGAACCTTAATCACAGTAATGCACAGTCATAAAACTTACCTCAGTTGTCATTCTGTGTAATTGGAAATTGAATTTAGTCTGTACTTAATCTACAGGGTATAGGGCCCTTCCTCATTATACTGTGCATGTTATTTTTGTTAGTATTTTGGATATACACAAAACAGTTTATGGATGCATGGGTTTGTTCATATGAACTTTAAAAACTGGACTCTCTTTTCTTCCAGTACCTCTAAATTATCAGATTGTCCTGAAAAAATTTTAATTTCCATGACATCTTTCTAGAACCTAAAAAGCATGAGCCTGCTTATACATATTCCCTTCCATGTCCAAAATATGCATTTTACTGCAATGATGGTTGGGGGTGGGGGAAAACTGTTTGTTTCACAAATGACAGGGCATGATCCTACTTTGAAGTTTGTTTTTTATTTTTTTTGTGAATTTGAATGATTTTTGGGAATCTGCAAACATGTGATAATGGAAATGATGGGGATATTAATAATGCCATGAGTGTGTATTTACAGTCAGTTAAGTACTGAAATGACCAGTAGCCAAAGGGAATGGACACTGAGAATTAAACAAAAGTGATGCTGATCTAATGAAATCTATATTTTGCCATGTTGAAACACCATGGCTTATGGAAAACTTACTTTCACTCTTTCCTAACTTTGTTGCGTTTTTTTTTCATGAGAGAAAAAAGATCACAAGCTAAAATGTACCTTGGGGAACTTTTTTTTCCAGACCACTTAATTACTTGAAAAGATAATCTGAGTAACATTTGATCAAATTTTTCATTAGAACTCCTTTTAAATTTTTCATTAGCTTTATAATTAACTGAATTTGTACAGTCATCAGTCTGTTTACAGCATCTTGCTTTGTAAAGGGCTGTACCATAACCCCAACTCTCTGTCTTTGCTTTCCAGATTATCACACAGAGTAGGGTAAAGTGAGCCCTTGGTGACTGGGACATCCGTTTCTCTATAACATCAGACTAATAGATGCATTTCCTTAGGTAAAAGGAAAATGGGCTTCCTGCTCCAAGTCTTATTTGAATTTTCATTTCATTTGATGAAGGTGGGGAGGAGTGCAAATTAAACAAAAGAATTGAAAATGAAATTAGAAAGATGTGTTGCTGAAACTCCACTGACAAGAGAACCTGACATGATTTCACCACGAATAATGCTTTCGGACTTTATAGGGCAGGCTGCAGTTTGAATGGATGATATCTTAGGTTTTGTAAAGCTAAAAGACTTATCTGTTTTTTTTTTAAAGGCAGTCAGATAAGAGAATCTAAAGTTATGTCAAACAAATTACATTTTAGTTATTAGTGGCTAGTTTGTAAATATCAAAGACCCACTTATTGTAGTGCTTGGAGCTGCATTTGCATGCTGATGAAATGCAAGTGGATGGCTGTGAACTGTAGGGTTATCTCTAGTGGAGCAGTGGGGAGCTCCAGAATCAGAGAGTTGAGCATCTGACTGACTCAAGAGCCCAAGCTGCAGACCTCTTCTATTCACTTTCTTCACAACAATTAAAATATGCAAAGTGATAATTTTCCTTAAGTAGCCTTAAATGTGCGATCTATTTAAATGTGAAGAAAATTGCCTGAAGCTTCTGGTGTGAGGGACAAAAAAGAATAAATTATGCAAATAGCAGAAAAGGACTCTACCACTTGAACGCCTAATTTTCCTGTAATAAGCATACTGTTTCATTTAATTTTTTGCCTCTTATTAAAAGTGACAGTTCTTTTGCACTGTCTGATGGTTATATCTGACACAAGCTAGGGAAATGACTGCTAGACTAAATGCTAAAGCATTTTGGTAGCTTTTTTAGATGATGGTTACATTCACAAAGTAATTATGCACTGAAGAGTCGAGAAATAAGGTTTAATTACACAGTAATCGCTTCTGATGGACACGGCAGAAGTGTGAACACCACCAGACTGCAATCCATCAATGACAAACCCCTGGCCACTTTTAATTCCTCCTCATTTGCATCATAACCTCCGCACCAAGTTGCACAAATGCTGTTAAATGTTAATAGGAGCTGTCTCTCCACTCAAAATGAATGCTTAAGCTGTTTCATTTTTTTTTTCTCCTCCACCTCAGACCTTCAAAACCAGCTCCTCTCTGAGAGCAGGCATTAAGCACAGAGCATGGTGCGTGGTCACTGTTGTGCTAATTGGGAGCAACACTTAAAGTTTTATCTCTCAAGCGCTAATAATGCACAGTGCTGACAAACCAGTGAATAAGTAATGTACTTGGATGAGGAGGGGGGGCAGCCCAGCATGCCTGGAATGAAAAATGCAGTTGGGACTGTTGTTCAGTGACTAGCTATTTGATTAGGCCCTGTAGTCATATTTAATCCAGACCCTTGGGGAGCATAGACAAAATTACATCTTCATCTCATCAAACATTCAGCCATATTTAAGCATTCAGCTGATCAAGCTTTTATTGTTTCTCTTGCAGCTACACAGACACAATGATGTCCTGTGTTCTTCACTCCATAACCCTGCAAAGCTAAGCCTAAACTAGCTGTGGTCCTTTTTTTTTTCCCCCTCATATTCTCCTTGTCAGACACACAGGGAGTATAGTGCAGATCTCATATTTGGCTACTGTA